AGGAGAGCAAGTGCTAGAGGTTTGAACAGAGAGGAGAAGATGTGAAATAGTTGTCTAGTAAAGTGAAGACTTTACAAATTCATATGAATTAGTAGCAGAGTCCTCAAGTTCCCGTTCTTCATGCAAATGAAAGAAGACTCTCATTCACATTTCCTGAACATAATATGTATATGTCTAATAATTCTGCCTTTTGAATTTAATAAGTGAATGTTTAGTTTTGAAAAACAGTATCTATGAGATATTAAATCAAACAGAAAGTATGTATTCATGAAGATTGTATGGTTTCACAGAAAGAACATGGGGTTTAATATCAGAAGATCTGGGTTCAGGCTGTGGTTTTGTCATTATTAACTAAGTGATCAAACACAACTCCCTTGTGCTTTCTAAGCCTTAATAGCCTCACCTAGAAATGGGATAATATCTACCTCCCATGGTTATCATGAGGACTAAATGATCAATAATATTGGAGGCAGTACTGTGTCAATTGTACAGTGTTAAGTAATTTAACTATTATTATTCTTATTGTTATTAACTGTAAATGATTGATCAACTATAGATTGATTCGTCTATAAACCAACTATAGATAATTATAGATTGATCACTAAACTATAAAGTAACCTTATAAGAACACTGAAACGAATTTACTTTTGCCTTACACAAAAATCTAGCTTAAATGACATTACCAGACTAAATAATAATTGGGAGACTAAGAAATAAGCAACTTAATAGAATAAAATAAAATAAAAGCAAGACAACAAAGACTGAGATTCTATCATACACATAACACCTAACAATCTGAAAATCTAAGCCCAGGAGAGAAGAATAAAAACAACATTACAAGATAAGAACAATTAGGTTTTAGAGTAGGAAAAAGTTTTGTATACTTCTCTGCAGATAAGACTTGTTAGACTCTAATCATTGGAACACTGCACATTACCAGATAAGTCCTAATTCAAAAGATGCTATACCGCCTTCTTTTGATGACTGATTTCCCCAAGAGACTCATTTCATGAAATGAAAACTTTCTCAGCTAAACACATATAGCATTAAAAACAACACAAGTTTTTAAAAACTAATCACATGTTCTGAGACATAAGTATATTCAAATTTACTTTGTTTTTTTAATCTTTTCTCCCATGAGAGATTTCAGAGTGCTGGCAAATCAATTTGGCAGAGAAGGGAAGTAGCTAAGAGGGCATGTGTGCTGTGAGCAAGAATGCCCTATTGAGACTGCTTTGGGAAAACGGGGAGGATTCAGTCTGGTCTCAATGCAAGGGCACCTTCTTATGCACAAGTCAGGCCTGTGCCAACATTGCCCTCTGGTGGTCAATTAAGTTGGCTGTGATGTTCCACAATAGAAGGCCGTAGTCAGCTGAACAAGGAGAAATTCGGCAGTCTCTAGCTATCATCCTTTCCAAGAGTTACTTAGGCCCTTTCTCCTGGATCAATATTTCTCAGTCTTGGACATGCATCCAAGTCACCTTCAAGGGCCTGTTAAAATACAGATTGCTGAGCTCCATCCCCAGAGTTTCTGATTCCATGTGGGTCTAAGAATTGCATTTTGAACAAGCTCCCCAGTGATACTGATACTGCTGGTCCAAGGACCACACTTTGAGAACCACAGTCTTAGGTTAGAACATTCCATAGACATAAGTTCTTAGCTTCAAAAACCTCCTGGAATGTTGGGGAGAAAGTACTCTCTCAATCTTATAAGTAGAACAATGTAAGCACACCAAGTACAGAAAAATTAAGTGACTTGTCCACAAATTTGCCAACTATTTGTCTCTAAGGGTCAACAATGTGGTAGATGTTTATTCAAATGTCTACGACAATGTTTGGAATGAACAACAGTCACATAAGTATTATTGCTTTGTTACTTATATCTAAGGGAAAGCTTCTGTCTTTTGTCTCCCTAGCCTAGAAAACAGAGCCAAATAGAGCTGATAATGAACAATTATGAAGATAATGTCTTTAAAGAAAAAAAATCAAGTAGCACATACGTTCTAAACAAGTATTCTGCAAAGTGTTTCCCAAGGTGACAGGCATTTTAGGAGTAGTTTGATATCAGTTTTATTTCCAGGTATTTGGCTATTTAGATGTTTTATGGAAGCAATGCTAAGATCGTAAAAAAAATTCAATTAATCCACAAGCAGACAGAAAAAGAAAAATAAAGAACAGATTATTCAAGAAAGAACAAAGAACAAAGAAAGAAGAAATAGAAAGCAACTAGCAAAATGACAGGTTTAAATCTAACTATATCAATAATCACATTAAATGTAAATAGTCTGAACACACCAATTAAAAGACAGAGATCTTTAGATTGGATAAAAAAGGAAGACCCACCTATATTCTGTCCATAAGAAACCCACTTTTATTAAATATTAAAAAAAATGCATTGAAAGTAAAAGGATGGGGACAGATATACCATGCAAACACTAATCAAAAGGTAGCTGGGGTAGCCATATTAATATAAGACAAATTAGACTTCAGAACAAACAATATTACCAGGAATATGGAGGGACATTACATATGATAAGAGGGTCAATTCATCAAGAAAAAATAACAATCTAAATGTATAAGGAAGTGACAACAGATCTTCAAAATATATGAAACAAAAGCTGATACAACTGAAGGGAAAAAGAAACAAATCCACAAAATCACATGGAGACTTCAACAACTCTTTCTCAGAAATCAATAGAACAAGTAGACATCAAGTCAGTAAGGTTACAGAAAACTTACACAACACTATCAACCAACCAGACTTAACTGACGTTAATAAGGGGAGACTCTACAACAAAAACAGCATCATACAAATTATTTGAAGTGCTCATAGAAAACAGGCCATATTCTGGACCATAAAACAAACTCTGACAAATTGAAATGAACCACAATTTCAAAGGATGTCTTCTGACCACAACAGAATTAAACTAAAAATCAATTACAGAAAGATATCTGGAAAATCTCCAAATATTGAGAAATTAATATACTTCTAAATAACCCATGGGTCAAAGGGGAATTCACAAGGGAAAGTAGAAAATATTTTGAATTGAATGAAAATAAAAAACATATCATAATCTATGGGACAGATCTAAAACCATGATTAGAGGGAAATTTATAACTTTAAAACCTTATTTTAGGTGGTTGCAAGAGGCAGGAGGTAGGCATGGGGGAAATAAGTGAAGGTGATCGAAAGATACAAACATCCAGTTATAAAATAAATAAGTCCTGGGGTGTAATGTACAGCATGGTGAATACAGTTAATAATACTGTATTGCATATTTGAAAGTTGCTAAGAGAGTAGACCTTAAAAGTTCTCATCAGGGCCGGCCCCGTGGCTTAGCGGTTAAGTGCGCATGCTCTGCTACTGGCGGCCCGGGTTTGGATCCCGAGCACGCACCGATGCACCGCTTCTCCGGCCACCCTGAGGCCGTGTCCCACATACAGCAACTAGAAGGATGTGCAACTATGACATACAACTATCTACTGGGGCTTTGGGGAAAAAAAAAGGAGGAGGATTGGCAATAGATGTTAGCTCAGAGTCGGTCTTCCTCAGCAAAAAGAGGAGAATTAGCATGGTGTTAGCTCAGGGCTGATCTTCCTCACAAAAATAAAAATAAATAAATAAATAAATAAAAATAAAAATAGGAAAATCATATTAAAAAAGTTCTCATCAAAAGGAAAAAAATTTGTAACTGTGTGGTGATGGATGTTAACTAGACTTATTGTGATCCTTTTGCAATATACACAAATATCGGACCATTGTATATTTAAAACTAATACAGTAAGTCAATTATATCTCTATTTCTAAAAAATGCTTATTTTAGAAAAGAAAAAATGTATCAAATAAATGATCTAAGCTGCCATCTTAAGAACCGAGAAAAACAGCAAATCAACTCAAAGCAAGCAGAAGGAAGGAAATATTAAACATATGAGCAGAAATTGAAAAACAATAGAAAAAAAAAAATGAAGCCAAAAGCTGGATCTTTAAAAAGATCAATAATTGATAAACCTCTATCCAGACTAATCAAGAAAAAAGAGAGAACACAAGTTACCAGTATAATGAATGAAACAGGGGACATGACAACAGATCCTACAGATATTAAAAGAATAAGGTAATATTACAGTTTTATCTCCATTAATTTGACAATTAGAGGAAATGGACCAATTCCTTGAAAGATACAAACTCAAGTGATACAAAGCTCACTTGAGAAGAAATAACCTGAATAGTTCTTAAAGTTCTGAATAGTTCTTAAAGAAACTGAATTCCTAGTTAAAAACCTGACAAAGAAAACTCCAAGCCCAGATGGCTTCACTGACAAATTCTATCAAACATTAAAGAAGAAAAAACATCAATTCTACACAAACTACTCTAGAAAACAGAATAGGAGGGAACACTTCCCAAATCATTTTATGATGTCAGCATGACCTCAATTCTAAAACCAGAAAAAGGCATTACAAGAAAACTACAGACCAATATCCCACATGAACATACTTGCAAAAATCCTCAACCAAAAATATTAGCAAATCTGATCTAGCAATATATAAAAGCAGCAAACCTCTTTTAAAGGGTTTAATCCATGTTTTAATCCTGACCTGGGGTTACTCCCAAAGACAACAAGTGGCATCTGATTCCATTCTAAATTAAGTCTTGACCTAAAACAAAGAATTTACGTATCTAACTTTACAAAGCTACCTTCAGAGAAAAGACACGGCAGACAGTTTAATTTAGGAAAGTAAGAGGCAGATTATACAGTAGTTGGGACATTACAGAAGAAATCTTAGGGTTAAAAGTAAAATACAGCTTCATGAACACACACTTAACTAAAGGGTAATTAACTTAGCTCCTTGATTTCTAATAAAGAAATAATAGATAAAGAGAAAATTACTAGCTTATACTAAAAAACAGTTCCATTTCCTCAAGGTTTCCAGGATTATGACCCAAAGCATAATTCTTAATCTACTTTCCAAACATATATATCCAGTTTGGCTTAATCACTTACCTTCAACCTGGCTAGTATCTGAGCACGGTTTCTTCTTTGACTCTGAATTCCCGGTCTGCTCATCAACATCCAGGAGAGGAATATACTCTGTTTTTCCAACAGTTTCTCCCACAACATCATCAAAGGCCTCTGCCTCCAGGGTGGCAATAAAATCTCGTTTTATCTCTTCCTCAATTTCTGGAGGTTGGTCTGTTAATGCATCTGCAAGACTGAGGTCAGCCATTCTGCACTACTGCAACTACCTGGTTAAGAGGAAAAAAAAAGTTTCACATGATGAGCACGGCAAAGGGAAAAACATTCCTAGAAACTCTTGTCAGTTGTTTTAAACAAAAAAAGAATCAAAATCTAAAATTTTAGAGCTAGAAGAGGCTCCTTCATTTTACAGATTAGAAAATGAAAGCTTAATAACAGACAGTCTTACGCAAGGTAAATACTTTTTTTCTCACATCTCTGGGAGGTAAACAGATTAAGTGCCATTTTGTCCTTTTCATTAATAGGAAAAAGGTAGTGTAAAAAAATAGTCAATTTATCCAAGCTTACAGCCAGTAAGACTCAAATCAAGTTTTTTGATTTCAAGTCTTACAACCCTTTCAACCATTCATATATCTTCATTTCCAAATCATATCCCAGAGTAATTTATAAAAGAATATACAAAAAGAGGTCAGATTAGATTATATTCCCATAATAAAGGTTGCGTCACTATCAGGCAAATGAAGTCACCTTTCTTGACCAAAGACTGTGAGTATGGGCCTTATCTTGTTGGGATAAGTACTGCTTCTTCAGGAATCACTTGTGGATAGCTCCATCAACCAAAGTACAACCCTCTGCCCTGCTGGCACGAAAGAATACAGACAAGTTCCCTGATTTAGCTAGGGGAAGTGGCCCCTCTCTATGGTCATGCATATTACCATCTTTAAAGAACACCAGACTCTCAATTTTTAAATATAACCTAGTTAAGAAGTATAATCTACTATAGGCAAAACTATAGATGAATAGCTAAGAAAATACAGAAATAATGTAGTAAAAAGAGCCAAAGGGCCTGCAATATATTGAGCTCCCGGTACAAACACAACACAGTAGGACAGAAAAAAGTGTGCAGGGTACTATCTCTACTTTCAAAGCATCCAATTTAATAGAGACTCCAAAAGACTCAAATGGACAAATGAGCCATATTCTTGACCGGGTAATTGTAAATCAAATAGCAATCCTTAGTTGCACAGTGTAAGGATTACTGCTTCTGCCTGTTCAGAAATTTATTCTTCCTTATCTTCCCCCGTACACACCAATGTCCACCCCCATAGGGTTAGGCACGTGACTAGAGTTTGATCAATCAGAAACAGGAAGAGAATGATCAGAAAAGAATCATTTCATGACTACATCCTGGAAGAAAGGTCCACAAGTGGCAACTGTTCAGTTGCCCTGGTTGTCTTCCTCCTCAAATCTAAGTGAACGACCTCCAATAAATCTTTAATTAGCTTAATTTAGTCAATCTATTTCTGTTGCTTGCAACCAAAGAATCTCAGCTAATACACACAGTCTTTCCTCAACCCAAATTTTAAAAAGCCAAAATTAACTACGGCCACTTAATGCTCAGGCTCTCCTTTCAAACTCCTCCACTGTCCACCTCTCACCAACAAATGTACTAAGGAAAAAGAAATACACAGCAAGGAATACAGTCATTCTATCTTCATCTCTGTCCCCACACACTCTCCTCCTCCCACTTATACTATCCTGTGCTACAAACATGAAAGTCATCGACCCTTTTCAATCATTATTTCTTTTTAGTTTCCCCCACAGGACCAAGCTGTGAAGCTACCAGAATTACAAAACATGCACAAGGCAAACACTTCTAGAACCTTGAAAAATCAGAAGCCATCCCATCCTCAATTCCCAAGTCCAACACCTAAAAGGCTTTGCTGTATGTTTCAATGTTGTAGAAAGTATAAGAGTAGTAGCATAGAGGCTTAAACCAAGTTGAGATAATAAACCAGACTAGCATAGATTATAAACTCAGTTCTACTACACAAAAGTACAGAGGGGATAACCCCAGAAGCAAGACCTACTTCTTCTAGGCAAGTGCCCAGAAAGAAAAAGATAACATTTGTCCAGCACAGGGAATGCTGGAAGGGTTTGTTGATATCTATACAGACTTGGTGAAAACATTCACTACACTACATATTCTTTATATTATATAATTATAAGTTAAAATAAAATACCAAGATTTGGAGAGACATTAAGTACTGAATTTGTATAGAGTTGCAAATAAAATCTTTTCAAAAATTTTAATGATAAATTTGAGCCTGCTTCCATGTGCTTAACTTTTTTTTTTTTTTGCAGGGGAAGATATGCCCTAAGCTAACATCTGTTGTTACTCCTTTTTCTTCCTTTTTACCCTCCTAAAGCCCCAGTACATAGTTGTGTATAGTTGTAAGTTCTTCTGTGTGAGCCGCTGCCACAGCATAGCTACTGACAGATGAGTGGTGTGGTTCTGCACCTGGGAACCAAACCCTGGCCGCTGAAGCAGAGTGCGTCAAACTTTAACCACTAGGCCATCATGGCTTGTTCTGCTTAACTTTTTTATATCAGGTTTCCTATTTGAAATGGCTACCGCAATTCCTGTTCAAGATTTTTAAACGATGATCTTTTCAAATTCTAGATTGTCCCATCATACAAAAGAGTGGTAGAAGGAGCTTTTACTCTGATTCCTTTTCTTAAAACACAGGTGATGTTTAAATTTCCCATGATTATGCTAATGAGTTCCAAATCATATCCTTCTTAATATCTAGTATTTCAAAATAATGAAGTTTGATTCAAGCATACACAGATATTACACTACTAATTTTAATAAAATCTGACTCCTAAAGAAGTAAGAAGGGCTAAATATCACTAGTGATTCATTTAGAACTTCACTTTTTCAAAACTGAATTTCTGCTTGGAAGCCATAAACTTTGTCATTGCAGTCCCAGTAATTTAAGTTCATTTTATGTCTTAAAAATGTCAAGTAAGGCCATTTTTTAAAGTCATTAACTATCTTTCAATAAACATATACAGAATCATTCCTATACAAACTTTGAAGTCTCTTTTTAAATTAATAAACTATTAAAATTTTGCCCTGGACAGCCAATGCACTTCAGACAGCAGAATGGTATTCTGATCCCACTGTGTCACATGTAAAGTTGAAAGCAAATGGACTAGAGTGGCTTTGATTTGATTGGATTTACCATTTTGATAGCATCATTTAATGTGGAGTACATATCTATGGTCCAACTTTTACATGAGAGCTTCTGTGTGAATAAAACAAAGGATTATAGTACTTAAATCTCGGGGTTTTGAGCATGAACTCTGATGCTCAAGTTTTTATACCTTCTTGTCATAATAGCCACCACATGTCCATCCATACACAAACTTAAGCAATGTGTCTGGAATATCTTGTTTTGAATTATTCATTTATCACTTGAAATATTTTATCCTCAGTATTTTGTTTAGAAACTAAACACAGTTACTAAAGTGAACAGATTTGGTAATTTGTAATCAAAAGTTTTATTAACTAAAGTTGTCTATCATATGACAGGTTGTTAAACGTGTATACTTAATAGCATTATTCAGGGTGGTACCTTCTCTATTTTCTTTGCTTCAATATTAGTCTCAAATGAGGTGCAATTTCCAAGCAAGCTAAATAAGTAATTCTGCAATTATATGAAGCATTTTGGTTTTAGGTATAAATAGTATGATCTTGTTAATAGTTTCTTGAACTTGATCCCATACTGACGTAACCAATACAAGAATTTTGCTTCTTATTTTGAAATTGCAGAGACTCAGAAAAGGAAGAATCTCTTGTTATTTCAGTTGGGTCACTTGCAGTGAGGTTCAGGCATGGTTTGTCACTGTTTTTTGTTTTTTTTGTGTGTGTGTGAGGAAGATTAGCCCTGAGCTAACATCTGACGTCAATCCTCCTCTTTATGCTGAGGAAGACTGGCCCTGGGCTAACATCTGTGCCCATCTTCCTTTACCTCATATGGGACACCACCACAGCATGGCTTGACAAGTGGTGCATCGGTGCACACCTGGGATCTGAACCTGCGAACCCTGGGCCACCACAGCGGAGCACGGGCACCCAACCGCTAGGCCATCAGGCCGGCCCTATTTGTCACTGTTTTTTATTTGATAATTTTGCCATATCAGTAAGACATTTAGGCTAATAAAGTTCAAGATTATGAGAGCATATGAATCCAAATACAAGAAAATCCTCCTCATACTCTCTCATTAAAAATTTACATATTTTAAAAAGAGATATAAATAATAAGCTAATATTTGAGATAAAATAGAATCATAAAATATATTCAATTAATCCAAAAGCAGACAGAAAAACAGTATAAAGAACATACAGAGCAAATAGAAAGCAACCAGCAAGATGACAGATTTAAATCCAACCATATCAATAATCATATTAAAAATAAATAGTCTAAATACACCAGTTAAAAGATAGGGATGTTCAGATTGGATTAAAAAACACAAAAAAGCAAAACCCACCTATACAACGTTTATAAGAAACCAAGTTTTATTAAATATAAAAAAGAAATGGTGAGGATGTGGAGAAATTGGAACCCTTGTGTACTGCTGGTAGGAAGGGAAAATGATACAGCTGCTATGGAAAATAGCATGGCAGTTCCTCAAAAATTAAAAATAGAACTACCATATGATCCAGTAATTCTACTTCCAGGTATAGACTTAAAAGAACCGAAAGCAGGGTCTCAAAGAGATATTTGTATATCCATGTTTAGAGCATCATTATTCACAACAGCTAAAGTGCAGAAGCAATCCAAGTGTCCATGGACAGATGAAGGGAAAATAAAATATGGTATATACATACAATGGAATATTATTCAGCCTTAAAAAGGAAGAAAATTGTGACACATGCTACAGCATGGATGAACCTTGAGGACATTATGCTAAGTGAAATAAGCCAATAACAAAAAGACAAATACTGTATGATTCCACTCATATGAGATACTAAGAGAAGTCAAAATCATAGAGACCGCAAGTAGAATGGTGGTTCACAGGGGCTGGGAAGAGAAGGTAATAGGGGTTATTGTTTAATAGGTACAGAGTTTCAGCTCTGCAACATGAAAAGGGTTCTGAAGATGGATGGTGGTGATGGTTGCACAACAATATGAATGTACTTAATGCCAATGAACTGTACACTGAAAAAGCGTTAAGATAAAAGAAAAAGGGGGTTGAAAAAA